CCCCCCCCAAATCTGATGCTGCTGTTGGGAAAGCAATTCTTCTTCAGCAGGCCATGTAAACATCTATAGAGAATCCAATTTCTGAAGAGCTGATTAATCCTCCTTGAGCATCTGTATTCTGAAGCCTCGGAATACATTTTCTTTATTGCTACCTCCTGCTCATGTGTTTATTCAAATGTAACAGCAACATTGTGATTCTTTCTCTGCCCTCTACCTTTTCCAGTACTACCTCTCTTTCTAGGTACCCTCTCTCACAACATCTACTAGACCTCATCAACCCTGACTGGAATCAGCATATATTTTTCATGATATCAGGACTACCAGAAAGAAATCAATTAGAGAAAAATTTAACTAAGCCATCCATTTTGGGTGGATTTACTAAATGTTCAGATGCCAGAGAAACAGGTAGAGAGAAATAAATTCTGGCAGTTTTTATGACAGAAAGGATAAGTAGTTATTACTCAACAATGGTGACATCATTTTTTAAGTAACTAAAAAATTCTATCATTAGATGCATTATAGAAACTGCAGGAAATAAATATCCCTGATTCTGTGAAGCGGCATAAATTTCCCTTACAGGTGATGGAAAAAAATGAATTAATGCCTTTAATAAAGACTTTTCGCTATTAGTCTTCCCAACCTGGTATCCTCTAGATGTATTCAATTTTAACTCCTTTAGTATAGTTGGATTCTAGGGCAATAGGACCGAGGAAAGTGGTTGCAGATTGCTGTGTGTATCAGACACATAGAACTGAAGATAAAGCTTTACCCTGCTTAGTTTGTGCTCTGTTCTTGTGCAAGCATCCATGAAAGTTTGTGCAATGACTGATAAGGAAGCATCTACTACTTCATGAACGTGAACATCAAAGATGAAGTGGGGATTTTTCAATATGTTCACCCAGAACCTAAGGGGCAAGCTGGAAAGAAAACAACAAATAACTGAAACTGGTATTCAGGAGTGAATGAAAAGGTAATACTAACAAGCAAAAAGTGTTATCATTAATAGATCACTCTACCATAATATATCATTTGATTATATACTTTAGGTACAAAGTATGCTTCTTTGCACATTATCATAAACAGGAATTCATGACATTTGGATTAACAGGATCAAGCATGCATGACCATACATTCTACCTTATTATTTCTGCTTTGCTCCTCTTGGCAACCCAAATAACTAACTAAATCATGACTGGCTTGCTATTAGATTCAAAGTTCTATTCATGGACTTGTTGGTGTTGATTTGGATTCTTTTGGAGAGCAACAAAGCAAGCGTGGTTTCAACAAATGCTAAGCAGATAGTGTTTTCTTGATTTATTTAAGGTGGAGCACAACTAGAATAAATAAGCCAGAATGCACCAATGAGCTTTCTTATGCTGAATAACCCAGAAGATTTCTACCTTAATGTGTCATAAGCTTCCAAAATGTGCTTGTATACTAAAAAGAATTTAAATTATCTGAATGGCAATTTGGCTAGCTATATGTCAAAAAGCTCCATGATGCAAACAAATGCTAGCTTATTTAGCAAAAGCTCTTTAGCTCTGTAATAAGGATTTGTATGCAGTTGTAAGGTTCTGACTACTCGGTCAAAATGCATAAGCTTAGTGCTCATGCTGCTGATAAGTACTGATTCCAAAGGAAAGTCCATCTGCAGAAAGAATAGAGGTAAAGGTTTTCAAATTAAGCTCAACGTTTGGTAGACAAAAGTGAAACAAGAAAGAATCTGGGCTGCCATACATTCTGTGCCGTGTCTAGAGCTTTTCGTGTGTAACAAGCAATAGCAACAGAAGTGAGTAGCCCTTCTCTTTTGTAAAATTGTGCTAGTGATTTCATTGAACATCTAGAAAATTCTATAGACAAATCCTTTGTTATGATCCCACTTTGATCTGCAGTGTTGGGGCTCATTGTGCAGACCATCATCTAGTATTTGTGAATATTGGCTTTTCACTAATGTCACATGATGTTGTAGACGAAGGGACTGTTTGCCATTAAGTATGGCGAGTTGTATACTCCTTTGTAACAGCTGAAAAAGGCTGCTTAAATTAGGGAAAATTCCAATCTCCTGTTTTAATGTTTCCATTATTCTCCTTTAATAGTTTGTTAAATATATTCTGACTGATTTCTCCTTTGTTTGTCAAATCTTTGTATTGCTTCATTTTTTAGTAATTGTTTTTTATCCACTATCAATACTCTATGCCACCCAGACTTATTGTGAACTGGGCAGCTTTACAAATTTAATAACTTAAATTGCACCGAATCTTGAGGTTTTCAAAGTTTGTGGTTGAGCAATATGAGTACCCTGAATAGCCAGTGTGATGTAGTGGTTAAAAAAATGAACTAGATTGGAAAGTCTCAGAATCAAACCATCTTCAGCCCAGGACACTCACTGAATTATACTGGACTGGTCATTCTTTCCGAGCCCAGCCTAACTCAGACTTGCTGTTCTGGGGATAAAAGTAAGGGAGAACCCTGTATTTGCTTATCTTGAATGAAGGCAATGAGGGATATAAATTTAATAAATAATAAATAAGTAAAACGCATCTGTTTGAAATAGAAACTGTGACCATTGAGCTACGTACTTGCATACACTTTTTATTATTAGGTATATGGCAATTTCCCCAACATTAGAAAGGGGTCATGTAATGGTTGATTCCTGGGCTGATAAAGATTTAGAAGACAGTTGTGTAAAAGGCCAGGAACAAGGTTGTCCTTTCTCAGCAAAGAGGCTTGCTAGTTCACAATCAGAGGGGAAAACAAAGAAGTCTCTCATATAAGATCCCATGGAATTACCACCATTTACATTTTAAAAATAAAATAAATAATTGTTTTATCTGCTTTCAATACTCTATGTTTCAGGGTCATTCTGAACTAGACAGCTTTACAAATTTAATAAAAAAATGCATATCTGAAAAATTGTTGAACCCTTCTCTGGAAGCTTGTTATAAAACTTGTTTAATTCCCATTTTTAGCCATATTAATAACAAATAAAAAGAAACAAAAGAAATAAACTTCTTGATAGTTAATTATGTACTATTTTTCTCCCCAGCTACCTGTTTGTTTTCCAGATGTGGATGGTGTCCTCATCTTTGATATCATGCTTCTCTGCTTGCTCATCAAGAAAGTCAAAGAAATATTTCACAGCTGGTGGAACAACATGGTGTGAATCAAGTACACTATGGAAAAAGTTATCTACAAATTGCTGAAGTGTACCCTAAAGAGGGGAAAGCACACACACAGTACAAACATTAAAAAATCAGGTTATGGTGTTAAGTGTAACATTTTCCAGCAGATCCTTTCAATTTATATGACTGCTTCCGAAATTGACTTATAGTCATCTGTACAAGACTTTATCCCAAATGGCCACAGAATCACAATGGCTCCAAGTGCTGCATTTTTCAACTATAAATGGGTTGTAAATGCTCTTATGAACATAAAATGAACAGTCATAACAAATGTTCCAGGGACTTCAGGAAGAATAATTCTCTGCTCTGTTTAAAGAGGTGGCAATTTCAGCATTGTGGCTCAGGGAGAACAGAGGACTCTAGTCTGAAATAAATGGGCAACCAATAGCAGGAATTCGTGGGAGAGTAATGTATTTAGAACGGAGCTTTCTGGGTATATTACAACAACAATAATGAGCCAGGGGGGGCACTTGATTTTTATATGATTTAGTAACTTTATTATAGTAAAGTTCAGTATTTCTTATAACAGTGTGTGAATGGATGGATAGAAGAAAGGAAGGAAGGAGGGAAAGAGAAAAAAGAGAGAGAGAGAGAAAGAAAGAAAGAAAGAAAGAAAGAAAGAAAGAAAGAAAGAAAGAAAGAAAGAAAGAAAGAAAGAAAGAAAGAAAGAGAAAGAAAGAGAAAGAAAGAAAGAACGTGCACTTAGTGCACTCAAACAATGCATCAAAGATCTGGAAATCCAATAAGTCTGCTCTTCCCAAGAATATTTTTTTAAGCAGTCAAACTCCTCCTTTTAAAGTAGTGAGATACTTATAACATATAACTGTCCCAAAAATCTGAACATTAGCATGCTGAAATGCACTTCCCACAGATTTTGGAGGGCCAATACAAAAAACCCCCATATGAGCTGAGATTGTACCCCTGTAGACAAGCGGCTATTGAAAGTACATCTCACGTTCTGCTATACTGCATCTTCTATAAGGACTCATAGACTCAATTTATAACACTTTGCCTAATAAAATACCAGGAAATATTGATCTCTTTGTACAACTGCTGTTTTCAGATCAGAACAAACTAGTTTCTTTGAACGTAGCCAAATTTTGTTATAATGTATGGAAAATCAGGCAGACTCTAACTGCCCACTGATAATCCATCCCTAATCATAATATATTATTTTGTCTGTTTTTAAATAATAATAATAATAATAATAATAATAATAATAATAATAATAATAATAATAATAATAATAATAATAATAATAATACTTTTATTTGTAATGATGGTCTGTGACCGTAATAGATAGGAAGGAGGGAGGGAGGGAGGGAAGGAAGGAAGGATTACCTCTGGAAAATAATTCATATTTAATTGGGATGCATAAACACAACAAGAAGACTTGTGCAATACAATTGGAGATCTTGCTAATAAGCCAAGGATTTTCATACAAAATCAGTTTGGCTTGATGAAATTTTAACTGGTCTTGTCTGCTCTGCATGTCACATTTTCTGCAGCTACTGTTAAGCAGATTTGGCTATCTTTACACAACAATAAACAGCTCACAAATGAACTTCAATATAGTTTAAATGAAATTACGCACTAAGTTGCTATAGATACTCGTATTAATGTTTACAGAAGAGGACCTCATGAGGAATTGTTCCTGGGCTTTAAACTAATTTAAGCCCTATTTAGGCATGCAACTTTCCATTTATATGAACAATCCTGCTGGGTGTTCCTACAGATCAGTCATATAATGTATTCCTAGGGCAGTCATCTGCATATTCAGCATGAACCTCTCCAAGGGGAACTGCTTTGGCATATAGAGTACCATGTGATCTAGAAACCTATGATGTACACACAGAGTCTTTTGCAGAAATTGGTGCTATTCATGCAGAGCCTATAAAGGTATTTAGCACCAAGGACAATGGACTTTACTTTGCCATTTTCCAAATTTATCAATACCTAATTATAGATAACTCAGGTATTTAGAATTTATCAACACAGCCTAAATAACTACATAGAGAGGATAAGTCTACATATATGATTTTTAAAAGCCCCAGTATTATGGGCCTTTTTTAAATTAAAGTTTAAACTGGACTTGGTTTCTTTGAAATAGATAAGGAACAGCATTCTAGAAATAGATTAAAACAGAACTTTTTGGGGAGAACGGCTGTGGAAAAAAATGAGCTAGTGTTTTCTGTTTTTGGTTGCTTCTACTTGTTTAATCACTGCTATACTGCATTTTGTGGAATTTTTTATTTTTATTATGGAGAGCCACAAAACATAGAGATATATGAATCTAGTAAATAAATAAATACATTTCTCTTCTTCAGTCAGAACTGAAACAACAGTGTTAAATCATTATTCAGAACCTTTTTTGGGCTGGTGTAAATGTTCAGAATTGAGGCTGTGGTGGCTATTGGGAATGACTATAACTTCAAAACAAGGGCTGGCATGGGTAGCAATAACCTATGATATCAATTTATCGGGATGCTCCTTACCACATATATCTTGTTGCCCTTCTTTCTATTTCTTCTTTTTGGGGTGAGATGAGCATTTTTTCAAGCTATAGTTACCCATTTAATTTTTAGCTGTTAAGATTATGGGGCTTAGGTTATGCTAAGATTCATTCATGGAAATAATCATAATACTGAGGATTAATGTTTACTTTGCAGAGTCCTTTTTTTTAAAAAAAAAAAAAAGAACAGTGTCAGGAGAAGTAGGAAATATGGTAAGATACAAGAGAGATGGCTGCAGGCACATTCAGACCCCAAAATGCCATGTTGGAAAGCCTGATTCAAAACTACATAACATTAGCCTTTCAAATTAGTAGAGGAAAAATATTACAATGGCTAAGTATGGTTTGTATTTAAAAGGAGTGCCCTGAGCTATTTACATGCTTGACTTTAGATCCCAGCAGTACTTCAGACATGGTCATAACAGAAATAGAAAAAAGGGGAAAGGGGAATGTAAGGGTTTTACATTCTTTGCAAAGTCAGTATACATCGGCTTATATCATATCTAAAATTTGGATTTTTATTAATGTAAAGTTTTAATATTCTACCTTTAATGGATCTATACAATCAGAATAGATTTTCAGAAGGTTGGACAGAATTTAACTTTTAATCTTATTATATAATGTATAGTGTGCTGACTAGTGCTGACTACTGCTGTTCATACATGTTGATATTTATATATTGCTTGGATTTTAAAACAATCTGTAGTTTTTAAAATAATATATTCAATTACCTAATAATAGTTAATGAAACATTGAAAGTTCTATCTTAATTCTATGATTTTTGTAAATGTCCTCTTTATTCATGGCCTTTTAAAATTTTTCTGTATTTTTACTCCTCTTTTATCTATCTTTTAAAATTATTTTTTTTCCTTTTTTAAAAATGCTAAATGAAAATATACTAACAACAATAACAGAAATAAAACTCAGGTCCCAATAAATGAGTTGGTACTCTATTGGTTCAGACTAGTTCAACTCTTGTTATGCACACCAAACAAGAACATTAAGAAAATGAAAACACCGGAATGTTTGTTTGGTAACTCTTGAGATTCTTTGTTATCTAATGGACACATAGTGTATTATTTCTGGAATTTTCAAAGAATAAGTTCATAAGCAAAGATGAAAAGACTTGAGTTGCTTTAACATCAATAAAGCTTAATCGAGACCTATTAATTTCAATGCAGCTACTCTAGGTATGATTGTACCTAGCCAATGTCTTTGAATCTAAATCTTAATTCTAAAGGAAAATTCTACATCTAAACTCACTGTCTATTTAAACACAGTAAAACTTGGCTCTTGGCAGTCAACTTTACCTTCACAGAGAGTAGCCTTGTCAGGTAGATTTCAGTGATAGCTTTGGTCCTTTCCTTCTCCTTCATACTCCCTCTTTTTGATTTACCTTCATCAACTTCATCTACTGGTCGAACTAGATGCCAGATCTTATTTTCTTCTTCCAATAAAGCATGTCCTGAATAAACCATAACATTTCAAAGCAATCAACAGATGAAATGAAATCCACTGACTGAGCAATTGATTGCCATGCCTAAAATAATGTCCTACTGTATTGCAACTAAATGGCATATTTAATGGCCTGCAATAAATATTATTTGCGTTTCATAAATGAAAGGATCCCAAAGTAAAATCTAAGCTATATTATTCTTGCTTATAAATTCTAGATTTTCAAATGAATAAGTTGAGGTAATTTTAAAGTAAAATGGGAGGGCATTCCATGCCCCCCTTTCTCTAACTCTCAGCTATTTCTGACCATGGTTGATCGTATTAGTTTGAAGAGGGAAAAGCACAAAAACAGTAAAGTAGGTCAGTATTCCCTAAACTCTGTTGTTAAAGCTAGCTACGTCTATTTTGTGATATGGTTTCACCTATTTGTTATTCATAGACCCTAAGAAATATAAAGTAGATCCCAGCAATTCAAAGCTTATCACACGTGTGCAAAATTTAACTTATACAGGTACGCTTCTACAGTACCTATGACCACAATTGGGACCAGAATGTCTATTGGTAAGCAAAGTGGTTGTTAACTGAGCTGTGCCCAATTTTACGACCTTGTTTGTTATGTTGATAAGCAAATTACTGTCATAAAGTGAATCATGCAGCAGTTAAATCTATCCAGCTTCCTCTGTTGACTTTCCAAACTGGAAGCTGGCTGGGAAGGTTGCAAATGGTGATCACATGACTCTGGGATGACACAACTGTTGTAAATATATGCTAGTTGCCAAGTGTCTGAATTCTGATCACATGTCCGTGGGGATGTTGCAACGATGATATGTTCCGAGTACTGGTTTTAAGTCACTTTTTTCAGTGCAGTTATAGCTTCGAACAGTTGCTAAATCAATAGTTGTAAGTAAATGACTACCTGCAGATACCCAAATGAACATAGATTTCCTATTTGTTTTCCTATATTTATATTTAGGTCTTGGAACATTCTTAGGTAGTTACAGAAGTGATAAAATCTCTGGCTAAATCAAATTATAAAATACTTGATTTCTTACAGTCCCGAATGTCTTTATATTTTAGAAATGTCTCATAGACTTCATGTCTGAAGACACCATAATCTGTTCATTTACAACACATCCCCTTTTGTTGATAATGAGATTCTTAAATCAGACACAGGCTGTGTATAGGAAAAATCAGACAATTTTATGATAGGATCCTGTGATTTTTAAAAACCACGAGTGTGTAATTCCGTTTATATGTTCATCCAAATTTAATTTTTTTTCTCCTAAACTAAAATTGCAATGCATTCTTACATGGTGTGGGAACTGGAGACCTTAAAACAAAGCTACTTCCCATTCCAGATCTCTTGAAGAGTATAAATGTAGTCCATCTGTTTAATTATATTGTACAGTTCAAAGCAAAATGGGCACCGTGAATGATATAAAGGTTCAAGCAATTACACGCCTGCACATTAAATATAAAACTTTTCATCTATGAAGCTGAATAAATGTACAATAATGGCAACCAATTAATTACAGTCATAGTACACTCACAATGCATGTATGTCAGAAAGGTCAAAACATAAAAATATGTACATAATGACATTTTTAACAATTCTGAATTGTATTGTTTTTTATTCAGTTTTCAGCTTCATCATGACTTTTAGCAATCGGAGAAAAAGCCGCTATGGTATATTGTTCTTCCTTTAGTAAGACTGATAATTCCAAGGCCAAAAAGTAATGAATACCTGCCATTTTGCAGAACTATTGATTTCAAAAGACCAATAATATGAAAAAATGCAAAATCTAACCCTGCTGAACTCCAAACAGTTTTATGGTATAATGTCTATTGTAAATACTAAATCCTGCTTTAAATAATTTTGGGGCTTCTACGTGTTTTTGTAGTTCATGAGCCCTGGTGGCACAATGGTTAAAGTGCAATGTTGCAAGCAAAGTGTGGTATTGCAGGCAAACTCTGCCCACAGCCCAGAATTTGATTCAGCCCTCCATCTTTCCAAGGTTATTAAACTGAGGACCCAGATTGTTAGGGACAATATGCAAATAATACTTATATTGGAAAGAGAGTGCTGTAAAGTACTATAGGGCAGTATATAAGTCTAAATGCTAAGTACATAACCTATAAAACAAACAAATGTACTGTCACTTTGATGATACCATTATTTTCAGAATCATTTTCATAAACCAATGTTATTTGGATAATTCAAATCTTTAAAAATGAAGTCTGAAAATACCCTAGAGAAATTTTTTTTTCATAATCATGGTAGCTGCTAATCCAGAAGACAAATCAAGGTTTACCAGCTGCAAAGATCATGACAACCACTAGAAGGGATCCAAGACACACAGAAAACTTTGCTGTAAATAGTGATGTCGGGAATTTTGCAGATAAAGATCTCTATCGAGGATGGAGAGTTTTTGCAAAACCACACTGATTTTTTTCCAGATTTACTTTTCTATAAGGAGACAAAGAACTTGTGTTTCTCATACCAATTTTAACATTCTACAATTGGAGAAAATGCTATAGATTATTAATAGCCAGGTTATTAATAGATGGAGGTCAGCATGACTGGATTCTTATTTCCATGTAATTTATTACTACCCAATTGTGTGCTACATATGATGCTGGAATGTATAAGGAAGCTGTATTATAGAAATACTAAGACTGTAAGTTGGAAAGTGTCTGATTCATATTTTATCTCAATTACAAATCTTTGAAATAACATTGAACATTGTCATTATAACCAAGATGCCTTACAGAGATATACAAACCTCCTGGGATAAAGAGAAATAACTTGAGTTAAAATAAAATATTTGTTATTATTAGAAGAACAAAGAAAAATTATAATGATTTTCTATAAATGCAACATTTGTGAGAAGTTAGCAAAAAAAGGAACAGTCAAACCAATATTCCTACTTTCAAAATCCCACTGAAATGAATGCAGTGCCTCATTTGTGCAACTGCAGTCATTTAATTTAGAAATGTGAAATGTTATTGCATTTATCCCCTAGGATCTGTAATTCGCTACTGCATTTACCTCAGTTAAAACATCAGCTACTAAACAATTTACAAAAAAAACTTCTTAGTGAGCTGTAAACTTATTTTCTTTTATCTATTATTTAATAAAAACCAACTTTGAACAATGTCTAGTTTTATCCATATTGATTTTTAAAAGGAGAATCAAACCTAAAGGAGTCAACCCAAAACAATCCCTTTTAAGCCACTATTTTGTTTTGTAAAACTGGCAAGAGTATTTCAATCAATCTTGTTTTCAATGGAAAACATTGTATCTGATTAGCCAATGAAGAATACCACAAATCATTGTCAGTGTAGGTTGCAGATTTGCCTGGTTCTCTAATTTTTATAGCTTTTCAAATAAACTGACTTAGCTACATGTTAAATGTTAGCTTTCCAGAATTTCTCTGCATCACATTTTCTATGTGGTTTAAAGAATGTAAAAGGCTCTTTACCACTTTATCTCTTTAGATTGTTTTGCAGCACATATCTATATCCCAAGCTAGATGCTATGATTATATATGTAAACTCACAGAATCCAGCTTGTTTTCTGTCATAAAATAGAACCTGTCTGAAAGACTAACATGCTATACTTACGTTCCTCTGGCATGTCTTGTTGGTGATCCTCTGGCTGTTGAGAAATCCACATTTTTGACAAGATGAGGGTAGCACCATCTCTTACCTTCAAGAACATACATGCAACAAATTGGTGAGAACAGCAAAAATAACTCTTATTCCTATACAAGCACTGTATGCAGTATAAGAATAAATTCACCTTTCTTGGCCATTTTTTTTACAAGGCATTCAATTATTCTTTTAATGTACCGTATGTATGCCACTGAAGAGACAAAGCACCTAGTCTTCCATTTTTTAGTCTTCTAAATACTCATTGGTGAATAAAACTAGGCCCATCTTTGTAGTCATTTGGGAAGGAAGTATCGTGGACAGTTCTACCCAGAGTTCTTGCCCATTACTGAAAGGGCAAGTCTTATCAGTCAGTCTCATATTCAGGTCCTCAAATTCTTTTGAGATTAGAAAACTGACATTCACAGAGATTAGAGAAGGTATTCTTCATTTCTCAAGTTTAACCCTTACTGCAGGGCTTTTCAACCTTTTCACCCATTGTACCACTTTTAGGATACAGCAATATCCAAGTACCACCAGTCGCCTAGCAAGGTGTCAAAAACCTGATGACCAAAAAAAAAAAAAAAGGAAAAATGTGATGAAATACAGGTAGTCCTCGACTTACAACAGTTCGCTTAGTGACTGTTCGAAGTTACAATGGCACTGAAAAGAGTGCCCCCCAAGCCACAGCCGAGCAAGACACCTGCCTGCCCGCCTGGTGGCACTCTTCCTCCTGTCCGAAGTTTCCATTGTTGTGAGCATTTCTGTTGAGGATTGGCAGCGGGGGTGGGGTGGTTTTTATTTGTGTTTGGTTTTTATTCCCCCCCGTCTGCTGGGTGGTTGCAGCAGGTTTTGGTCACTTCACATGACCCTGGGACACTGTGACCATCATAAATATGAATCAGTTGCCAAGCATCTGAATGTAAATCACAAGACCCTGGAGATAAGGCAACATTCCAACTGATCGGTGCTTCTTCAGGGCTCAGCAGAAGCGCCAGGATCAGCGCCGAGCTCCAGCTGGAGCCTGGCGCTGATCCTGGCGCTTCCACTGAGCCCTGACAGTCCCGAAGAAGTGCCGATCAGCTGGAAAGCGGCACTGATCCTGGGGCTTCCGCTGAGCCCTGACAGCCCTGCAGCTCCAGCCATCTCTCGCTCAGGCTTGTGCGGTGCTGCCACCGGTTCAGCTCATTCCCCTCCCCCACTACCACTTTTCTAGGATGGTCGCGTACCACCTGCCAGGTGCCAATGTACCACAGGTGGTACCCGTACCACTGGTTGAAAAGCCCTGCCTTACTACCAGATTAAAGATCAAGCAGATTAAAGAAAAGCCCTGCCTTACTGGAAGGATTTCTTGCCGGAAGCATAATTGATAACAATTTCTGTGCTGGCTTTAAACAAAGATAACTTTTTTTTAATCACTAATACAGAATTTGCCAGTATCCAAAGAGCTGCATTCAATAATTGCCCACTTGTGGCATGGCAATATAATTTCAGATTCTGAGTCTGGGCTTTGTTAAAAGAAAATAGATACTGGATGCGATAGGAAGGAAAGGGAACACTTTTTGAGACAGATCATTCTTAATGAAAAGCTGTGCATTACTAAAAAGCAGCAAGGAGGTGTAACGTTTCCAAAATGCTTCCTTACATTATAGTGCATCAGGGTATTGATGCGCTTCCACCTCCCTTCCCTTTGTGACGTTAAATCCAAGTCTGAGAGTATCTGTGCAGTAGATCCTGGACGCCACTCTGAGGAGAAAAAGAAGAAAAACATTTTACAGGTGTCCACCCAAAAATAACCTGCATATAAAGGAAGCTTTCATCTAGCAGATTACTGAAGTCTTGCAGAATTCTGTTCTCCTCTCTAGATCCACCCACCCAAGCAATCCTGTTTTTAAAAATGATAAATTAGATTTAATAGAAAAGTTATTTTCCTGTAGTAGAGACAAGGCATTGTATAGTGGGACCGCTCCTTCCTAGAAGATTCTGCACTGTTATTGCTGGGCCAGCTGCTCTCTCTCAGCTTGACCCCCCCCCCACAGGGATGGTGTTGTGGGGAACATAGGCGCAAGAAGGATAATTAGGTATGTTTGCCACTTGAGTTATTTATAAAAACAGTAACAGTGGAATAAAAATAAATAGTAATATAAATAAGGTGGTTATATAGAGAAATCTCTTATTTGATAATGGCCCAACAGACTTACTGCTCTCTGATGCTAAAATCAAGGAGGGTCTACACTTGTCTGTAAAGGTGTGTTGTCATAAACCTTTATTGGGGTAGGCTGCATATCTAGTTAAGATCCAATTTATTTTAAGATTATAGACATACAGTTGTTGTCTATAAGTAGCAATTCCCCAGATGTTTCATTATTTGAAAAAAAAAAAAAGCCAAAATCATCACTAGAGGAGGAAACTCCATTTAAGAGTTGAGATGTTTAGAAACATAAAACATTCCCCAAAATTTAGTTCCAATAAATGATTTTGTTTGTATTAGTATATTGTTTTCAACTTTTTTTTTCTTGGAAGCCAAGAAACAATATATCTCAAAGTAAAGATCTTAGCTTGCATAGTGTAAGCATGGTCTTATTGTCCTTGTGGGATATGGCCAAAAATTATATCTTTACCATTTTTAGGGAATGTTGCATGTAGCTCACGTAAGACTAGTTTGCACCTTCCCTCCATTACTAAGAAACATTATGTAAAAGCTTGACCAAAGCCACAAAGTCATATCAGATAATGTCCATGGCATATAGAACATTAGAATTTGGAATATTAAGAGAAGTAGATGTAAAGAGCAGGAATTAACAAATGATGATGATGATGATGATGATGATGATGATGATGATGATGATAATAATAATAATAATAATAATAATAATAATAATAATAATAATAATAATAATAATAATGAAAATAAATGGGAAAGGATGTTATATATTTCAATGAAAATAAATGGGAAAGGATGTTATATATTTCCTGTTGGCTGGAGTGGATTAATATATGCAGGGAAGTTATCTGGTTTTTAATTTTTTTTAATCTTACTGCTTTTAAATTGTTTTTTTTAATAATTATAATTATTACTCTTAACAGATATTTTCCTATCTACAGTTCAGCTAAGTTATAAATTATTATATTGCTGGATACATTATGAATAGATTCTACATCAACTGTAGCATTTCTATATGGAAAACAGATCAGTAAATTGTTATAAGTAATGTAAGGAAATGTTGACTCCATAAAACCTACTAACCATAATACAAAGAGAGGCAAAGTGAGGGGGGGGAGTTATTGTCCTTGTTTCTCTCCAAATTTTATCTGTTCAGGTAGGAAATTACAAGGGGAGTCATATTTTTTACCTTCCTTATCTGACAGAGTGAGTACTTTTCAAATAAATGAGAACTTCTGAATGTATGGAAATTGGAAAAAAGTTGGGGTAGAGTTTAGTGGGCAAAGTACTTTTCTTTTTATTCTTAGATTGTTCCATGGATTCAGATGGAATTACTAAGTCAATCTTTTGGTTTTTTGCAAACATTTGCATTTTGACAGCAATCTGTTCTTTAAAATAGATTTAAAAACTCAGATACATACCAAGAACAACACTGTCAGGCTTTGGCCACTGTGAGTAAGGCAGAATTCGATATACTTGGTCTATGATCTTTTCTTTTACTTGAGAAATAGTGTCACAATTTAGCACTTTTACAGGTATGGATTCTGTGCCTTCATCTTGAACAATCACATTTACAGTCTGAAAGGTTAGAAATTTCAGAGTTATTGAAATCACAGAAGAAAAGTCAACACTGGTATAAACTTGTGGCCCAGTCATTTCATATCTGTTTCTCTGTTTTTTGATGGAAATGGGGCATACTGAAATTTCTATGAGAATTAATAAACTACTCATCACTTTTAACACTGAATCTATTGAAAATATAGCAAGTCTTCAATATATTTCTGTATCATCACAACTGGATTTTGAAGACTTATTTTTTGTTAAAAAAAATTTAAACTGACATATATCATCAGACTAGTAGACCAGCTACTGTTTGTAGATGCTTAGATTAGTCCATTAACCTTACAGGAAGACACTCATTAATATTAGAAATTCCTCCTGTCAAAACAGCAGAGAAAGCAATTTCCAGATAGGTAAAGCTTCACAGAAATTTAATTCCTACTATAATCCCCAAATATCAGTTTTGATTGAAATAGACTCAAACTCTTAAATTAAAAGAGGCAAGTGTAGTCTAAAAACCCTTATTATAGCTGGCAAGCAAGTACATTTCAGTAAAAGAGCATATAATACACACATGTCATTCAAGAGATATTTTGGTGAACATTTTTTTTTACTTACATATACACTAAAACATTGCTTTCATGAGCCAATTGAGTAAGGGGTAGTTATCCATTAAGTAAAAAATTAAGCCATTTGCTGCAAATTATATTGTTTGCATATGCAAATTGCCACACATTATGTAAATTTAATGTATAGTTAACCTCAATTTAATTGCCTCATTCAGAACACTTGTCCAGATATCCTGTTATTACAAAGATATTTAGGTTGTCTGATTTACCAATCTGTAAATGCATTGCAGCCAGTCCACCAAATGAGGTTGACTATAAAATTACTCTATACCGTTTATTACAAATTAGTTCCATAGTTTTGATTTGGCAATTAAAAATGATATATATTTAAACTTGACTAGAAGGTACCTGTCTAGGGAGAGATTCCAAACTACAATGCACTGCTTATCACACTAGCGGATAAAATAGCATTTACAGATGCCTGATTTTACTGAATATAGTGGATTAATGTAATTAATTTTGTCACTAATTCCTTTCCTGCAATTAAATTTATATTTCAAAAATGGGCTGAAAGAAGCATATAATTCTAATAATCTATTATCTTACAACCAAATCATCCACTGATGTAGTTTGCTTCAATTTATTTGCAAATATAAAATCAAGAAAAAATTAATCAATAAGTGAGAACCTGGCATAAAATGCATTTTTAAGAAGGCCAAACGTTCTTGATACTTTCCCTATATAAATTTGGGAATAATAATTCTGGAAATCATATTGATGATCAGCAACCGAAAACAAACCCCACCTGATAGAGATGGTCATTTGGTCAATTCAGAGTTGCTGCTAAAGGATTGGGAAAGGAATTTAACATTTTTCTCTGCTTCTGAAATCCTGAGAAAATCCTTTCTCTGAAGCTAATTCTGAATTAAGGAGAAGAAATTTTGGGAATTTTTGTCCAAAGCAAATAGCAACTTCACCTGTGTTTTTGATGACCTAATCTGCAACTTGTTTTAAGAAAACAAAACAAAAAATTCCACATGTATTACACATTAATATCTCTGCAAAGACATAGTAAATACAACATCTAGTCTGGTTCTTCAGTTCCCTCAAATGAAGAGCCTGTTTGACGTAATCATACCCTCTGTTCATCAAACTAATAAAATGATAAATATTAGTACAATTAATATTTCTCCAAAACTATTTTGAGCCTTCAATGGCCCTCCTAATTTCTTATCTTATTCTTTTTTCCTCTAATTGGCATTTGTGGCATTTTTAGGCTGGCTTCATGAATATTATATATTAGTTGACTTAGTCAATTAAAGGGCCAAACTTCATAACAAATCATTTCATTAATCTTAAAGCTTTACCTCATTCTTTCTTATGTATACATCTACAGCAGTAAAGATGCTGGACCAGGAGTAGTGAAACTCTGATTTTAGTCCTTCCTTAGCTGTGGAAGCTGGATGGATCAATCACTCTTTCTTTTCAGTAAACCAGGGAGTTGAAAAAGTTATTTCTAGCAACCCACATGGAACCAGAATTTAGATTATGACCCATAACCTTCAAAGTCTTCATCTTTCAATGAATTGATTTGACTAATAATAATAATAGTTTTTTATCATTCATGTTTTACAAAACACATACTGTAAATGGTGAAAAAATAGTAGGTCATATTTCAGAAGCATTTCATGTTTTTAATATTCTAAAACAAATAATAATAAAAGCTACATACCAACTGTGAATACTCTACATCATCTCCCAATAAACCAGTGTCATTCAGGGTATATTTGGCTTTCATTTGCACAGCATCCACTGGTCCTTTCTCTACTTGATGTTTGATAGCTTTGAACAATTTATAAAGAGGCTCCCCAGCATTATCCTGATAAAGTTGATAAAAGAGGAAAAAATGGTGAGTGAAGACAATGGCTACTTTGTCCACCATTACTGAATATTAAAAAACTTCTTAAGATCATTATTTCTGCAGAGTACATTTTTCCACTGCATTTAAACTACCATTTGTAACTGACTTCAGACCAAGACTGTGGCATGTTTGGATCAAAAGTTATTCCTATTAGCATATACTCAAAAGAAGTATCAATTAAAAGCTTAATGTCAGTCTACAATTTGATAGGATATTCAAAATAAATATAAAATGAATGCATTTTAGATCTTACCTTGAGGTACTGATAAAGACAAATTGACATCCAATTAGAAAGCATTCTTTCCACAACGGTTTCAGATCTAAAATTTTAAAAAAAACCTGTGTTGAGGTGCATAGCTAGGAATTGTACATGAGTCTGTCAAGAACTAAACAGGCATTATAATGTTTCTCCCATTTCTCCATATCCAATGTATTCAGTCTAATGCAGTGGTTCTCAACCTTTTTAATGCCGCGACCCCAACTGGTTGTAAGTCGAGGACTAAACCAGTCGTAAGTCGAGGACTAAACCGGTCGTAAGTTGAGGACTTTCCCTGCCCGGGAGCGCTGCGCATGCGTGGTTCCATTCCCTGCGCTGGCCGAGGCGTAGCTGGCAAGCGGCAGAGACGGAGCAGGCCGACCACCAGCTGGCCCAGCCCAAGGGAGGTAAGGCACCCGCCGGAAAAGGGGAAAAAAATGGCGGACAAAAAAAAGGCGGACAAAAAAATGGCAGACAGCCTTGCTTGGTGACCCCTGTGAAATGGTCGATCGACCCCAAATGGGGTCCCGACCCACAGGTTGAGAACCACTGGTCTAATGGCTTTGGAAAGTATGAGTGCTACGCAAATCCTTAAAAAGAGGATTTGGTTTTGAAAGCTGAACCTATTTTCCTGATGAAGCAACTGTGGACGGTCAAGGTAGTTTTTGAAGCAGTTGTCAATCTCACTAGTTAAATCAGACCAGGAAATCAGCTCCACAAGAAGATTTGATTTCTATTGAGATTGACTACTGTAACACAAACATGTACATCTGATTGTGCTGTACCTACTCCTCTTCCTTATTAGTTCAGTGAATTACAAAGATAATCAGTGTTAGTCAGTTCCAAATATTATCTGGCTGTTCTGGACTTTAAAAAATGCTTCTGCCCCATTTGCCCACACAATAGCTCCTTTACTCTTTATAGTAGCTGTGTGAATTTGAAAAAAAGACATGACTGCTTTAATGATTAGGAAAGAGAAGTTTCATATGTGCTCTTGCATTCTCCAAAATGTCTCTTTCAAAATATTTCTGGAGCTCTCAAAAACAAGTCATTGCTCTCTGTTGCTGTTGCAGTGAAGCAAGGTTAGTACATATCCAGAACTAGAAAGATTAGACTGAAATTCTTCTTCCTTGGTGACTTTGGTCACCCTCTCTTGTTTAACCTTTCTCTCAAGGTTACTGTGAGGATAACATGGGAGAAGAACCTTATATATATGAGCTTCTCCTGAGGCAGTACAGGGCAAAAATCAATAATAGTAATACAGTAAATAAAACATTATCTCAGTGAAGAATGTGCTGACTTTCCTGCTGTCATACAATATAGAAACTACCCGTGTTGTGAGCTGTGGGAAATGCTACAACTGCCAATAAGATAAACATGCTGTCATGAGTCTTCCTCTCAAATAATTATACCAAAGAACAGGTTCTAGATTTTTTTCCCCTGGGGTACAGCAGTGAATTAAGTACAGACCAAGATGCTTGCTTCTCACTATTGGCATGAAGAAATATTCTAATTTCAAAAATAAATAAAGTTGCATGTCTGAATCTATTGAGTTTGTTCTGTACTACAGAGACCAAAAGCACAAAATGTGACAAAACAGAGAGGGGGGGGGAGAAGAGAGAACATCATACTCTGGAACAGTGAATTCACAGGAAACTAGAAAGAAAAATGCTGAACTTAGTAGGAAACAGAACACAACTGCTTAACCAAAGGTGGGAAACATGGTAGACCTCACATAATAGGTAAATGAAAGTAAATAAATTATATATACCTGTTCAATATGGCATAACCTTTAAAAAGACAAGGTTCTATAATATGGCCTTTGTAAAGAATCAGAGACTTTACTTTCATAACTAAATGTTGCTACTATTTAAATTCTAATCAATGACGAATGGCCAGATTTTTGCAGTTGTCTCAAGCTAACACCTTGGTTGCTTATTTGAAAAGTCAGAAATCTGTTTTAACAGTGCTTGCCTGTGGCTCCCAAGTTAGTTAACTGCACTCAGATGAAATGTTGGGTGCATCTCATCATCACCACTGGAGCAAGACAACTGGTTATTTGGCTTCTCCATAAGAGGAATGAAGTGGGCAGGAAAGCCGGCTATCCATCTTATCTCGGACAACAAAAACATATTGGACCTGCCTAATATATAAAAGCAAGCCTTTGCATTTTTTGGATTGCACTGTGTACTCATTGAGGTATGTAAAGATTTTAAAAACCCAAGTAAATGAGAATTTAAAGGGGCAACTTCCATTGTACTAGGTTACTGAAGAAACCTTCCCTACCTTCGGAGCATCAGTTTGGGATTTTTGGCCACAACATACTGCTCCATAAGTTCCAAAAACAATGTCCTCATGATGTCAGTATAGTATTCTAGCTTCCCATGCAAAGCCACGGTCAAAAGAGATGCAAAATATACTTTTGCACGGGCAGAAAATTCCTTTTGGTTTTCCAACGTGTGAATGAACTAAACAGAAACAACAACAACAAAAACAGATATATGAATGAAACAGTTGAGGCTTATTCTTTTTATTGTTCATTCTGGAAACATAGTATAATGGGATAAAAATTGGGACACAATACATTCCAGAAGTATTGAATATAGTTTTTGTGGTTCTGGCCAGATAAACTGATAAAAAGGTGCATTGTTCAATGCACCTTTTTTGCATTCAGTTTATCATTGCAACGATTTTGTGCACATCTTCTGTTTATCCTTTAATTTTGGTTAATTTGATCACTGGCATATATTAAACAGGAGTGCCAACAGGGCAGGGCAGCATCATCAAAATAACAGGGACAACTGATGCCTTGTCTGATACCTCTTTAAAAAGGGTTGTGAGGCTTCATTTGACAGTTGCTCCTACCACGTTGATGCTGTTGACCTTTCATAGATACCCCTGAATATGTACGTAAAGGGTGGGATCTAATTGCATTTCATGGTTGGCATAATATATAATGAATGTAATGGATACCAGCTAATAGTATTTCTGGTGAATACCATTCTTCCACAGATGACAGGTACAGGAACAAAATTATGTAAGATGCTATTATACATCACATACACAGCTTTACAAGATGTTCAGGACACAAAATATGCAAATTAATTTATTATTGTTATAAACAGATGTATCAAATGAAAATGCTTTTTAGCAACATAAAAGTTGACCTTTATTTTCTACTCACATTAATGAGGAATGATTTACTGTTGAGCAGATTGGAGAACTGATTCAATGCCTGTTCTACGGTTGGTCGTCTGGCTTCAGGAATGTCCAATTTTCCAGTGATCATTACATCCTTTTCTCCGTCCTTAGAGGGCAGAAAGAAGACTCTGTCTGTATAGGTTTTGTAGTCGAGCACTGGAATTCGTGCTTCATTGATGTCATTTGTCTGATCCTCCATTTCTATCATTAAATCTGCAACAGGAAACAATTTTAAAGCTTTAGGAGAAAATAATATTATTCATTCAATTATTGCTACCCTGAGCAAAATATTAAAATGCTTTAATTGAAAATTCTCTTAGTCTATTACAACAATACTTACAACCAACCAGTAAATAGGAGTTTTGGTTTTTAACACTTTTGTGAATGACTGATTTAGATTACAATTACTTTTGAATAAACAGTCACCATTCTAATCTTAGAATGAAATCATTGCAGGAGAAAACTCTCTTTCTTTACTAGCTCTAGTTGTTTTTCTTGGTGACACTTTGGGGCGCCAACCTGAGGGCTGCATTACAAAAATAATGTGTAGGGCAAGGACAAAAATTGATTTCATTACACTGATATGTAAATTTAATTGAAATTAAATGTGGCTAATTTGATTAATCTCTAGTTCATGCATTTAATAATTTTCACCATCTGTCACATGAAAATTATAATTTGGTGCGAACCTTTAATGGTTTCTGAAGGCTGTAAACAAGATTTTTCTGCAGGGGGAGAGAGGACAAAGAGCTTGAGGTTGTACAGCTCTGCATTCATATACACATAGCCCACTGAGACTAGGATATTTTTGTGTTAATTAGATCAGAATGAATCCAAATCTCCCAGGTCATATTCTCTATCCACAAAGTGGAATTGGTTCTTAATTACAATCTACCAACAAAAGGTCCTTGAACTTTTATTTGTCTATAGGAAAGTAATGGTCTCATCTTGCTATTGCAGTCCGGCTTAGCTCTATTATGTTACCAAAGAGAAAGGCAGTAAAGAATTCTTGCTCCCTCTGACTTTCTCTTGCTATGGCTTTGGAGATGAGATTGGAAGAGGACTGGAACATACTAGCACTGTCCTTTTCAGTATAATCTTAAAAACACTGCTCACAGTGCCCAACTAGTGAAAAGTGAGGATATCCATCATCAGGGACATTGAGCTGATCCTGTTCCCACAAACACATAATAGTGTGATAATAAAAATCAAGCATGCTTTTCCTCACTCTTGCTTTGGGACAGGGACAAACAACTCAATATGTTAGATACGTAGCTATTTTTCATTGAAAAGCAAAACAATATAATATGTTGCATGAATGTGCATGAATGCCAACCTGAAATTGAAATTACCACGGCAGTATGGGAATCTAATCTTTTTTCCCTTTTGTTTGGGAAATATATAAACCTTCTTTTGTGTGTATTGTTGTTATTTCTTCACTTTGAAAAAAAAACCTTAGTTGGCACCAATTAAATGTTAAAGGAGTATATTATTCAATAGATGAATTTTCTAAAACAGTCCTTGGGGGAGAAAGATTAAATTTCCTTCAAATGCATTGTAAGTCTCAGAATGATTCTACCATTAAATGAACTAACAAAAAAGAAAAGAAAAAGCAGCTCCACATTACACTGTAAACATATTGAACTATTTTTTTAAAAAATGGATAGCTTCTTTCAGCTTGTATTAGACTGTAATAGAAAGTGAGAAATGAGTGCAGGGGAAAAATAGTAATATTGTTATAAAACCATTTTTATTATTTGATTTTTATCTTACTCTTTAGTATTTTATAAGTAACTCAAGGCAGTGAACATACCTAATACCCTGTGAGGAGAGTAGGGCTGAGAGAGTGTGACTGTCCAAAATCACCTAGTTTGCTTTCATGCATAAGACAGGAATGGAACTTCTAGGCCAGTGGTGGGGAACCTATGGCACGGGTGCCAGAGGCGGCACTCAGAGCCCTCTTTTTGGGCACGCGCGCCGTTGCCCCAGTCCTAGGCCTTCAGCTGGGTTTTATAAAACCTTTTCGCTTTAGGCCTCCATGTGCAAAAAAAAAAAAAAAAAAAAGGTTCAGTCAGTCAATTTCAACTTCTTGGAGGAAAAAAAAGATCTTGCAAAGTTGGAATTGATTGATTGAACTTTGTAGTCCCACCCAGTCTGCCGTTACTACTGCAGCCACGCCCACCCAATTGGCCACGCCCACCCAATGGGCCACACCCACCCGGCACTGGACGATGCATAAGTGGGTTTTTTTGAGTTGCAGTTTGGGCACTCAGTCTCTAAAAGGTTCGCCATCACTGTTCTAGGCCAGTACCTTAACCACTACATCATTCCAAAAACCCCAAATATCCTACCCCAAAATACTGGTTTTGAGGGATTCAAATCATGCTAGATTTACACTGGTATTTTTTCCAAGTTGTTTAGAACAGGGGTCCCCAACTCTTGGTTCATTGACTGGCACCAGTCCGTGGCATGCCAGAAACTGGGCTGTACAAATAAAGTGAAGCCCCATTTGTGGGATGCAGGCAACACATGAAACCATGCTCCCTCCAGTTCATGGAAAAACCTCTCTCCACAGAACTGGTTCCTGGTGCCCAAAAGGTCGGGGGCCACTGGTTTAGAAAACTAGTGAACCTATGGCTTAGGTCATTTCAGTGATGAGTGTTCAGCTCCAAGGTTTGGAATTGATTTTTAAAGACCAAAATGATTTAGCTCTCTTAAGGATCATCCTTTGATGCTTTATTACATATCATTTCCAGCAGAGATGTGCCGTACAAATGTAAAGTAATGAAAAAGGATGTGGAGCTGCTTGGAACAGCATGAAAAATAGTTATATTATAAAGCCCCCAAGTTATCTTAGTGAAAAGTATGAATAAGGGTGCTTGGTGGAATAGTAAAATGAAAGAGGCAATAGATGAGAAAAATGCATATAAGAAAAGTTTGCTGCAAATAAAAATTAAAAAAAGATCCTGTATAAAAGAGTTACAAAAAATTTAGACAAACATCAAGTAACAGAAGACTGAAACAGGCTAAAGATAAAGTGTAGAATTTTACACTTTCATTTTGATGAAAATAAGAAAAAGTAGTTTAGAAATAAGCGGAGAAGCCTAAACCAGTAGTTTGTAATACTGTACAGCTAAACAAATTTATATAACAAATATGAAATGATTTGGAATGAAGCTGATGTGATGAGTGTTGGAATAATTATTTTAAGCATTTATCTGGTAATTACTGGTATCTTAAAGGGTGGAAACAAAATAAATGTTATAAATATTAACTGAGAATGAAAAAAAATCATCTTTCATAGGGTATTCCATTTTGCTCTTTAGCAGGTCAGTGAGAAATGTATGAATGAATGACAGTATCCTGTACATTGTAAATTAGAAAAAGTATATAATAAAGTGAAGAAACCTGAATTACTGAATACTATATAGCTGAAGATTGTTTGCTGAGAGGTACTGTATATAATAAAACTAAAGCATGGATGAGAATAATTAGAACATTTAAGGTAATGGTTCAGCCTTAGCACTAGGGAGTAAGAACAGGTTCTGTGATTTCTTTATTGTTCAATGTTTTGCTGTATAAACAGAGAAGAAACCATGTGGTGACAATAGAGAGTTGGTGAGATTTTCAGATGCTTGATGGAACAGTAGTTTATATATATATATATATATTATAAAAACAATCCGAACACCAGGATAATACTAAAAACAAAACTGTTTAATTATAAAAGCTAAGCCTTTCGTCGGTCAACACTACCGACATCATCAGAGCATAATGCAAGATTGCTGGGAGTCCTTCTTATGCTGCCGGGCAGCTCTGCGCTTGGCTCCTTGACCTAGTTACCGGTCCGTCCATTCTGTCTGCCTGGTTTTTTAAAACAGCCCACGTCTTTTACTATGTTAAAGCCCTCCGAGGTTGCCGTTTCCTTTTTCTTTGATCCAACCGCTCTCGGTCTGCTAGCGTGAGTTAACTGTTTCTGCTCACTTGCTCTCGCGTCTGTCGTCCCTTCCAGTTCTATTTCGGGATCTGTCTGACTTTCCTTGACTGGACTGTGCTTGTATACATTTGGGGGGTGGGGGGTGGGGGTGTATTAAGCGGATCCGGACACCTATCAGCGCAATCCCTGGTGGCTGCATTCCTGCATGTGTTCTTCCAACCAGGGACGCTGGTTGAAGAAAGGAATCACCTCTTTCAAACCTGCAAATATAATGGTTACCCTACTGGATTCATTAGGAAGTACAGCAAACCGTACAGATCCTGCAAAAACTTGCAAGAAACTGACAGGACGACAACACAAAATGTGCGCATCTCCCTCCCATACATTAATGGGATATCAGAGGCAACAGCCAGACTACTGGCCCCCTTCAATGTAAAAGTGGCCCATAAACCAGATCAAACTCTACGATCTAAGATCACGCACCCGAAAGATCCACTCCCCAATGAAGAAAAATCTTCTATAATTTATAAGATCAAGTGTAAGGACTGTTCCTGTAACTATGTTGGGGAGACCACAAAAAGGTTAAAAACTAGGGTCATGAGCATGCACTAGCGGTTAGAAGACAGGAACAGCACTCACAGATTTGGACCCATATAAGCAATCATGGGCATGAATTTGATCTTAATAGTGCACAGCCCATATCCAGGGACACTACCAAGGGAGGCTGCTTACTCAAAGAAGCCTGGCTTTCTGATGGCTACTCTATCAATCGCCATATAGAGCTTTGCCCAGCATACCAGACATTCAAGGTATGGGAACAACAACATCGAAATCCACAACAAAAGCAATTGGCATAACCCTCACAAAATCAGAGGGAAGGAAGAATGGAGGAGATAACCCATCTATGTGATAGGGAACCTACAAGGGGAACAGAGAAGGAGCAAGAAACACCCCCCTAGATACCCCAGATATATGTGTTTTAATTCACCCCATGAAAAGGGGAAATAACGATGGGGCTGAACAACAAGGATGGCTGTATGATAACCCACGGGACACCCACTCCACGACCCCACTGACGTCACTCCACTGACGTGCATAAGAAAGGAAAGCATAGATCAACGATAGAAAGCCATATTGTGGGACTTTGTACGTGCGCAAAAAGGGCAAAAGAACTGATGAACAGCGAAGGAGGACTGAGGAATTTAGTATGTGATCAAATGACGAAAAACTTTACGAGAGGGACAACTAGAAGCGGTACAGCATACTCACGGACACCCATGGAGGAGAGCAGCGTCCCTGGTTGGAAGAACACATGCAGGAATGCAGCCACCAGGGATTGCGCTGATAGGTGTCCGGATCCGCTTAATACACCCCCACCCCCTCTCCCGAATGTATACAAGCACAGTCCGGTCAAAGAAAGTCAGACAGATCCCGAAATAGAACTGGAAGGGACGACAGACGCGAGAGCAAGTTTTTAGTATTATCCTGGTGTTCGGATTGTTTTTATAGTATGGAGTTACCCAGGATTCACATTTTTAGCATAATTAGAGACCATACACACACACACACACACACACACACACACACACACACACACACACACACTCTTTGTCAGCAAAAAAAAATTAAATTTAAATTTACACACACACACACGTGTGTGTGTGTGTGTGTAAATTTAAATTTAAATTTAATTTTTTTTTGCTGACAAAGAGTTAAAGGGAGGGAAAAAATATATCTAAATTTACAGAAATAGTTCATCGCAGTAGCGACTTGAGCCTGCAAAACGCTCCTAGATTGGGGCTGAAAGGCAAAAGTAATCATAACAGTAGACCAGGTGTTCTATTACACCAGTTTCACTGGAAAACACTTACTATATATGTCGATGTTATAAATAGTCCTTATCTTACAACCATAATTGGGACCAGAACTTCTGTTGCTAATCAAGATGGTTAAGTGAATTACACCTGATTTTAAAATGATTTTTTGCCACAGTTATTAAATGAATCATTGCAATTGTTAAGTTCATTATGTAGCCATTAAGTGAATCTGGCTTCTGCCATTGACTTTGCTTGTCAGAAACTGGCTGGGAAGGTCGCAAATGGCAATCACATGATTCTAGTCTTTCAACTACTATAAATACCTGCCAGTTGCCACATGCCCAAATTTTGATCATGTCATCTTGGGGATGATGAGACAGTCTGAATTGCAAGGACTGGTTGGAAGTCACATTTTTTTCAGTGCCATTTTAACTTCAAATGGTCACTAAATGAATGGTTGTTAAGTTGAGAACTCTGTGCGTGTGTATTTATTTACATACATACATACATGCACATCATATACATACATACATTTATATTTTATATTTATATATATAGAGAGGAAAAAATCTAACATAATGAGAAACCAAGGAAAACCTCTTGGCTTTTCTATAACAAGCACACACAGGGGGCTATACAATATAGTGATTATAAAGAAAAACGTCTCCCTTCAGAATTGTGATGTGTGTCTCAAATACTATTTATTGTAAATATTAGTTTTGACCTATTATAGGAAAAGAAGTAATTAGAATCCAAGGGTGAATTCTCTTTCCTTTTTTCCCCACAAGTAAACATACTTCTTCCCTGAAATATTGCAGATAACTGAAAGCATGTAAGACAAAAAAAGTCTAGCTGCATGGGTGCTGTTTCCATAATTCTGTTATATTAATAAATGTTAATTTTAGTATAAATTTTATGTATGTTAGAGGTCTAAGACTGATATTTATGATTTAACAAAGATCAGAGAAAACACATTAGGTCCATCCAATTTCTTTTAAATTTGACACAGGGGACAATTACTTTGTCCATTTATACTAGAAGATGTCTGCATTGCTGACAAGATCTCCAAGTTAATTAATCTAATAACCTGCCACCTCAGAAATTTCTGTTGACTATAGCAGTTAAAAAAAATAAGAATTTGACTGCTCAGTGAGCAATTTAGCATCTATAAAAGATTCTAAGATTCCTGGCTAGTAGCACTCCAAATGTAGTTATCTATTAACAAAGAACTGAATAATCAGTGGAAACAAAAAAAAAATGAAAGAAGAAAAGTAATTTCAAATTTCAAGGCAAAGAGCAGAAACTAGACAGAATTAGCAAGGATTAAAGGCAATATATTAGCATGCTGTCTGTGTTAGGCGAGACACAGGCACCTTATGCTAAACAAAAAACAAAAAACTGACTTCAGTGTAATACACAACATGGATTTTGGCTCTACTTGTGTAATAAATCAAACTGGGATTTGGTACTTACACTCAGCTTCTATCTAGGTCAGCCTCCAAATGACTGAGGGCTATTCTTGGAAGCCAAAAATGATCTTATGGCCTATGACAATTTAATGGCTTTAGGTAAGCTGAAGTCATTGCTAAGGGTGCAGCACAGTGTCAAATTAAATCAACAGTATGATTTCCTCAAACTCACAAACATGAGTTTGAACTATCAGCAAAGAACCAGCATATGAATATCATAGATGGTATCCATGAGTCAAAGAGGTGAGAATTTCTTGCCTGTTTCAAAATATGCCAGCTTGAATGTATAATGAGCATAATAGATTCAAGACAGATGTGTACATCTTGGAATTCCAGAACTGTGAAATAAGTATGTCTAAAATTCTTACAAAATGAAGTTTTCAGATAAGTCACTTCCAGATTGTGGAGTGTTAAATTGACATGAACACCATATGCCTAAAAGTGACCCAGGCTGCATTCCTTAAATCTTGTTGAAAACTGGATTGATAACATATTTCTATTTTGATTGCTATCTTAGATATATGAATAGGATTTTATTAACATAAGATACAATATATTAGGTAAAGAGATGCTTCTTTGATAACAGCTTGTCATTGCTGCCTCCTGGGATATGTTTTCAGTGTTCCAGTCTATTAAATGTCTTAGTATTTCCTGGTCATTTTCCATGTAAGTGCTAACCAAAAATAATTTCTATTATTGGTTCTATTTTATCAGATTTTTTTCTGCAGTCCAAAATTCCAATAAACTTCTACAAATTAAATTATATTTGGAACCCTCTCTATCCAGCTGAGAAGTTAGTTGTGAAGCTGGTCAGCCTTGTCTGGCCTCAAAAGGCTAAGCAGGTACAGACTTTGTAAGCACTTACATGGAAAATGACTAGGAAATACTATGGCAGTTAATAGACTGGAAAAAAATCCCAGAAGGCAGCAATGACAAACCTTCATTGTTGCAACGAAACCTACTTGGATGAGTCCATGAATCACTAGTAACTGGACTTGTTTCCACAGAGATTTTACTTTTTCTCCTTTAGACAACAGGAGCATAACTTTCAAATATCAATCCATTTTCTGTTGAAATAAAAACTGATTTACTATGTCCTAAGAGAAACATCTTGAGGATTTTATTATCAGTGATTTAGTTCCTGATATGTACTATTTTATTTCTACTTCAAAACACAGTTAATGTTTAAAAACACATTATCTTTTTATGGATCGCTTTTGGATCATTTGCCAGACGAGTAAGCCATACTTAATTTAACGTAGTAATCAAAAATGTTTTTGCTTCCTGCAGGTTCTCTAAAGACAGTTTAAAGCAGACAGTAGTAGACATTCAATACATCTTGTGAATTCTCTGGAGACCCTAAGAAATCCAGCATCCGTCACACCTGTAAATTCCTTTTTGCACCGATCTCTGACGCTTTCTTCCAAGCCTTCGAGTTGTGATTTAATTTTTTCGTATTCTCGTTCTGCTTGTTGGCTTTTTCGTCTATAAGGAATACAGAAGAAGTTCAGAAAAGTTACAAACTGTAAAAATAAATCATTTTACAAGAGTAGAGGTATCTTTAGAAGTACATTTTATCTTAAGCTATAAAATAAATGCATAGAATATAAAGTATGCAAGTGTTTAATATTATATTTATTCAAAAGTACATTATTGTTTGAGTTATAATCATTTCTAACTTTTATCAAACTTGTTTATGAATTTAATCTATATTCAGTGATATTTTTAACCAATATGTATTTTAACAACCAGATTAATTTGACTTTTTAATACATAGACATATGATAATATCATTTCATGCTTTCATCTTTTCCCCCCTAAATATATACTTTTTTCTACAAATCAAGACCAGAGAGAAAATAATACAATTTTTAGCACATGGATGTTAAAAATTGTGATATGGAAAAGACACTTTGGAAGTAATCCATGGAGTATGTGTGTGTACACTGAAATCATGAAAATGTCTGCACTATGATTAATATGCAAGAATTGTGATGCCTAAAATATTTTTTATTCATTGAAATAAACACTTTCAAGGAACAAAAATCAATACAGATGTTTTTAGCAAAAATCCCTGAGAACAGGAGTGGATGAATCCAATACCCTAACTATAGAATTCACATATATCTTCCAAGTAATATGTTGTACATTTTCTTTTATGGATAGTTCCTTGCAGGAAAAAACCAAAGCCTGCCTTTCATTATTTTTAGTATGATGTGAATGAAAACAAGCTGCCTTGCAAAGATATATAACAAGAGGTTATCTTGCTTCCTCCCACACAATTTATTGTGATATGGTCAGAAAATGGTCAGTTAAGAAAAGCTCTCATATCTATTCTGGATTGTCCCTTAAATCCTTAGTGTAAATTTTGTAGCTGCCGTGAGGAGTTTGGGGAAGAAAGAAAGGCTTGTCTGCCTAGATTCCTCCCACATTTTTCTCAGAAAATCAGTTTTGCCTTTATTATTTGCACAACAGCTGATGACAATCAAAACTTACCTGTAGCAAATGACTGAGATAATGATAATGGCCACCATGGGGATAATTACACATGTCAAGATCAGACTCAGTGACACATCACTGACTTGAGCATACTCCACTCTTCCTAGGACCCATTCTTTGAAGCCAAATTTTACCTAGGGAAATAATTGCAATTCTTAAAAACAGATTTTGCTGAGCATTCAGTGCTTAGTTATATGCCAGTTTGGCAATTTAAAAGAATCAAAATAAGAGAAGCTCATTGGTGTATGCAATTCATATTCCAGATGTATTGGGATTAAATCTTCAGAATCACCAGCCAGTGTAGGCAACAGTTTTGGAGAAATGGTCCCAACATAACTGAAATGCACCAGTTTTGGCAAGATAATCTGGAAAACCCACATGTGGCAATAATTATTGAAACAGAATATGACTCATACATAAGAAATATAGAAACACAGGTTGAATTTAGTTCAAATCATAATGGTTTTTAAAATGATAATAATGACCACTGTTAGCAACAAACGGACATTTCAATCCAACTTTCAACTCTTTCAGGGCACTTAAAACAGTTTCCAGTTTATTCCAAGAATAAACAAGAACATTAAATCAACTAAACAATGTCAAAGAGAGAATTTAAACAGATCTGTTTAGATTTACCAAAACTACTAGGAGCATATTGCAAATGAAGCAGTATGAAAGTTTTATGAGCAAATGAATTAAAAATGATGGCCCCTTTAAGACTGTGACAAATTTTAAATATATCCTAAACTAGAAAAGCAAAAAAATATGAGAATAACTTTTGAAAGTGGACTACCAGAATGAGCAGATTATGAGACAATGGTCATGTCCATATAAATGGCATTTGGTGGGCAAGTTCACATAGAGAAAATGGTCCCCCAGAAAGTTAACTGGATAACCCAATGTATAAAAGACAATAACAACAAAACGCTAAACAATATTTGGTGCTAAACATGATTTGTTGAACATAGCAAACTGGACTAATTATCACATGCATTAAGCAGAAACTGTAGTTTATAAATCACAATGGCAGCATACAGTACTAACATTGAACAGAACATCCTATGCTTAATGCTATGAATGAATCCAGACAGACTGTTGCACTCTCAAATTTAAATTTTATTATGGTCACCATTTGTCAGCTTGGCTTGACATGAAATGTCCAGATGAGATGCCTGCTAAATTCACACTTTGCTATGTGATTGAAGATTCCTAGGATGCCATTCTGTTTCACTGAGGCAAATGTTAATGTTAATGAATACAAGCCAAAATCTTAGCCTATAGAAACCTTGCCCAAATTAACATCCTCCAGAGTTCCGAGTCATCATGAACTTGCTGATTGGGAATCTGAAAATCTGTAAATCTCAATTATAGGAGGTTTAGGCAAAGAAAGGCAATTGTTTCCTTGTATTTTGTTGAAAATAGGTAATAGCAAATGGAATTAGGATTCTTGTTGAATAAATTTTAAGAGAAAGCAAAATTATTCATAATTGCAAGTTTTTGTATTAAAATTCTATATCATATTGCTAAAAAATATAGAAAAATGTGACCTACAATGAATTCTGGAAGGTTGTTGACCGTATCCCTTTTTTGCCTCCGCTTGGGTAGAGGTTGATCTTCAGGTGGTTCACAATATAAATCTTTTTCAGTTAGAGTTGTTATGTTGCAGGGTTCTTCTCCTACAAATGCACGAGCTTCATCGATTGTCATAGCTTTGTTCAGATTACTACCCTAGATAGAAAAATTAAACCAGCCACTTTAGCTATTTGCTAATTTAAATATTTTTAAAGTAGGGTTTATTGGTGCAAGGAGCAAGAGAAAAGAAACATTTCAAGATCAAAACATGTCTATCATAAAGACAAGGGCTAAGTTTATTAAGTCAAGATACTCAATGCAGTTGACATACTAGGGCAGTGATGGCGAACCTTTTAGAGACTGAGTGCCCAAACTGCAACCCAAAACCCACTTATGTATCGTCGGGTGCCGGGTGGGCATGGCCCATTGGGTGGGCGTGGTTGCAGTGGTAACGGCAGACTGGGTGGGACTAAAAAGTTCAATCAATCAATTCCAACTTTGCGAGATCTTTTTTTCCCCCGCAAGAAGTTGAAATTGATTGAAACTTTTTTTTTTCACACGGTGGCAAAGGACTAAAGTGAAAAGGTTTTATAAAACCCAGCTGAAGGCCTAGGACTGGGGTGACGGCTCGCGTGCCCACAGAGAGGGCTCTGTGTGCCACCTGTGGCACACATGCCATAGTTTTGCCACCACGGTACTAGGGTCTGTGACTAAGCTTGATCTTGTTTATAAACCATTGTTTGCTTACATAGCTATTCTTGTAGGACCAAGAAATTATCAAAAAGTATCAGGATAAATTTATTGAAAAAACCCTAGGTCATAATAGAAAAATCAAGCACATAACGTAAAAATCAATAATTTCCTAATAGATTTACCTTTGCATGAATAAGTTTGTTGACCTGTTTTTTGACTCCATCAGTAAAGTTTTCAAAAGTTGGATCAGCAACATACTGAAAGTCTTGACGCTCCACCACATGACCATCCATTTTAATAAGTATAAAAATTTGATAATGTTCTGGATCCTCTAGTACTGGTGGAGATAAGAAGACTAATGCAGTATCATTGATTTTTGAGATGGTCTTTCCTTCAAACTAAAGAAAAACAAAAGGAAAAGAATATTGTCCGTTACTATTTACAAATTATGTATTTTTTTATCTGAAAACGAAACCAGTACTGTAAGCCATCAAATAATCTCATAAATTTTAGTGTATTTTTATTGTAGTTTTTAAAAGTCTGCAATACCTGCAGGTGTTTTACAGTAGCTGAAAAATGCATGCCATGATGAAAAAAGAATTACAATTGGTATAATTTTCACCGCCTTATACAGAGTGAATGTTTGAATTTTAGAAATGATTTTTGATAAGATATTCCTACTAAATCAATGCTTTTTTGGACTGAATATCTACTTGGACTAAATATCTACTAATAGCTAAATATCTTTAAAATGTGATACAATGTAATTCCTTAAAAGTTCATTTAGGAAAAAAAATTATCCTCAAAAGTGCAACATAAATATATTATCATGAATTTTATAAAATGGTTGAAACATTAGGACATACAATTTCAATTATTTTTCTATTCTCAATATCATTTTAATATGTGTTATTTATAATCTTTCAATTACTTGGTTGTTTTATTTTGGTTGCTTTCAACAGTGGGTGAAACAATATTATTTTATCTATTGTGGTGTATTGATCTTGAGGACCTTCTGGGTAGAAAGGTAGAATATTTTAATTACATAAATAATTATACTGTTCCACCTTTATTTCACTTTCTCAATATATGAATACTGGGCACTAGGCATATCTAAAATTAAACACTTTGATAAATATTCATCACTACAAGAAGTCCTCAACTTACAATCACAACTGACAATCTAAATTTCTGTTGCTAAACAAAACAGTTGTTAAGTGTGTTTTGCCTCATTTTACAAACTTTTTTGCCACAGTTGTTAAGAGAATTTCTGCAACTATTAAGTGAATTTGGCTTCTTCATTGACTTTGCTTGTCAGAGGTTTGCAAAACATGGTCTCAGGACCCTGCAACCATCATAAATATATGCCAATTGCCAAATATCCAAATTTTGATCACATGATCATGGGGATACTGCAACAATTGTAAGTGAGAAAAATGGTCATAAGTCAGTTTTTTCAGTGCCGTTGTAACTTTGAACTATCACTAAACAAATGGTTATAGCCGAAGACTATCTCTATTAAGAGTGGTTGTCATATGCCTAAAATTAATTAAAATTTGCCTTGAATATAGGAAACATTGGGTAAGAGTAATCCTTTTTCAGGATGGTGGGATAAAGAATAATACATTTTAGAGCCTATAATCCTTGAAATACATGACCATTTGCCACTACATCTAAATATTGGAGGTATGGTTCTAAATGCCCTGGTGGTGCAAGGATTAGAATGCAGTATTGCAGGCTAACTATGCCCATAGCCTGGAGTTCGATCTTGATGGACTTAAGGTTGACCAAGCTTTTCATCCTTCCAAGGTCAGTAAAATGAGGACTCAGATTGTTGGAGACAATATGCTGATGTTGTAAACCGCTCAGAACGTGCTGGAAAACAGGGCTTTTCAACCAGTGGTATGCGTACCACCAGTGGTACTTTGGCACATGGAAGCTGGTATGCGACCATCCTAGACAGGTGTTGCAGTAGAAGGAAGCATTAACATTGAACCTCAACTTTTTACTTTTCCATAACATTATAAACTAGCCATTTCTATAACAACAAATGAATCTAATCAGTAAAACCCAAAATCCCCTCCCTTTTTTTAGTCATCAAGTTTTTGACACCTTGCTAAGCACTGGTGGTACTCAAATATTTTCATGTCCTCAAAGTGTCACAATCTGTGAAAAGATTGAAAAGCCCTGCTGTAAAGCACTATTGAGCAGTATATAAGTCGTAAGTGCTGTTGCTATTGCCTAACCCAGGGGTAGTCAACCTTGGCTCTTTTATGACTCGTGGACTTCAACTCCCAGAATTCCTGAGCCAGCTAAGCTGGCTCAGGAATTCTGGGAATTGAAGTCCACGAGTCATAAAAGAGCCAAGGTTGACTACCCCTGGCCTAACCCATAGCTAGACTGTATTTTGAAACAAAGGATAAGTAATACCTTTTGATGCCTCTCTGTTTGTCTCCTCCTCCTTCTCCTTGATGATATATCTGTAAAAGGCTTGAATTTAACTTCCACAGAGAACTTCTGAATGATATCAAACCCAGCACCAAGTACAGTAATATTTCGTCCTCCACTAAAATACACAAAATTAGAAATCACCTGTTTTATGATTTTAGACAGATATTTGAAAATGCCTACCTTGCTTTTATTCTAAACTGAATCTTGTTTGTAGATAACAGAAGAGAATCATTAAATGTAGTCTTAGTTTTTAGGTATGTTATTTTATCACACATCTTTCTTTTAAAAAATATCTGTACCATCAAAGAGAATTAATGATGACATTTTCCAAATAATGGTATGTCAGCTACTTGCTTTTTCTTGTGACAGAAACTCAATAACATTACTAAAAAATAAATTGTGACTGTTTCCTCCCCCCACATATAATATCATAAACCAGGTTTACTAGGTTTAATATCACCATTGATAAAACAAGCAGAGATTCCTTCAAGAAACTAAAAAGCTATAGCTATAAATGCATGGTGTAGAGTCCAACTGATTGGGAAGACACTAGAATGACATATTAACTATGGTTTGTGTCCCTGCTTCTCAACTGCTCTTGGTCTGCATAGCGTTGCTTTGTTTTTCTTATGCTATCTAGCAACAACCCTGAGTATCACTAATCAGAAAAATAAACTCGAAACTGTGAAGCAAAAAATTTAAAACAGCCATGTAAACCTTATGGACAAGCTATATTTCTTAAATAAATTAATTTCAATTATACAGAATCAAAAGATTCTTTTGATTTTCACCCATAGTTCTGTGTTTGGTCTCCAGATATAACATAAAAATTCAAGAACACTGTTTCTCAACTTTAGCAACTGTAAAATGTGTGGACTTCCGCTCCCAGAATTCCGCCATGCTGGCTGAGGAATTCTGGGAGTTGAAATCCACACGTTTTAGAATTGCCAGTGCTGAGGAGCACCGCACTAGACTGAAGTGTTATCTAGCATAAACAGAACTGAACCCTATAGGCCAATATTTAACACAGTTTAAACAGCTTCCTATATTAAAGATCACGTTGAATGTTTTCCTTTAATTTTGTAAATCAATAATTTTAATTTTTTTTAGATGAAATAAGCAGTCACACAAGCGCCTGATAATTTTTTCATTAATTCTTAAATGGATGAAAACATTTACCTTACCTGAAGTTGATGACTTTTATTTTAGAAGAAAGATACAATTATGTTACATTTATTATGACTGCCAAGACCTAAAGTAGTAGTTATCTAATAATTACACTGGGGAAAAAAATCTCATTAAACCTGAACAAATCTTTATAACAGAACCATTTTATTACCTGCGAATGCTGACTTCAGGGGTGATCTTGCTAACAGTAGGATTTTCACTGTAGGTAAATTGTACATTCTGTATTTCTTTTTTGGTGTTTCCGTGCTGTAAAGTTACAGAAACAGGCAGCTTCTTGTTGCTTGGTCCAGTAATACAAACGATTTCTTGCCCAAATGTGATACTATTTAAGAGTAGGGGAAAGGGGAAAAAAGTAATCAAACAACTTATTTTATCAAGTTCATTAAGACATCACTATTTCGAATTTCACATCTAGATAAAGGAAAGGAGGAGTTTCAAAAAGAAAGAGTGAATTAGGAAAATCAGATGCCTAAGAAACCACCTTCACCACCCAAACAGGTGTCCTATTGTGGGGGAAGAGAACACAGCAGTACTCTACAATTTATTTCTGCTTTCCGGATATTTGCTTCAGTCCAATGTAGCCTGGGATTTAGCTTTACTATTAGATTATAGTAATTTTGCTCAGTGTGAGAGGATTTCAAAAATGCTTCTTTTTTAGTTAGGAAAAAATATTACCAATTAAGAACGGGTGAGCATTAATGATGTGTGCAAGTTTCTGCTCTGGCTTTTGCATAACTAAATCATCTTTCTTAGAAATGCCTAAAGAAGTGACTTATGATTCTACTATCAGCAAGCTGTTCAATAATACTGGGATATCTTTTTTTTTTTTTTTAAAGAAAATGGCAATATCCTAGATAGAAGTTATTTCAACATAAATAAAGGCCAGTTTCAGCATGGCCTTTCCTATGGTTTCATTCATTCATTCATTCATTCATTCATTCATTCATTCATTCATTCATTCATTCATTCTACCATTTCAATCTTCTCTCTTCCAATTGAGATGCTTGAGAATTGCCCTAACTATGGTCCAAGTGTTTCATGGGAAGTTGTTTTTATTATACTACATCTATAATATATTACACTACATCGTACTGTATAGCACTACTTAGCCAATGTGACCTGGTGTCTTTTATGCATGGAAAAATAAATTTAAAAACACTCACAGAATATTGTTTCCTTTTACGTTCGAACTGACCAGCCATATTGTCGAGAAAAAGCCAGCTCACAAGTTGTAAAGTCTCATTTAAGACATCAGTATAAAATGTTTGCTGACAACATTTTCTCCTCCATGGAAATATTGCATATAAGTATGTGTGTGCATAATATATATTATACATAATCTTTATGATAGCATTTAAAGTTATATTTCCAAATTTAATCATTTCTACAGTTGTTTTGATTTTAATGTTGCAACATGGTGTGCATGTCTTCAATGCCAGCATTAACATCTGCTAACATAACCCATGCTGTGCTCAATTATAGTTTTTGGGGGTGTTCAAATATTGCAACAATATTAGCACTCCAGTTATGTGCCTTTCAGAAAAAAAAATACTAGACTGAGAGTGTACAGGCCTTCCTAAAACCAAGCATGTAATTGCAAGGTGGTATCAAGATTACCATCTAAGAAGTACAAAGTAGAAGAACTTAAAATGAACCTAAACTGTTCCTGCATCACCCAGATGGAATACAAATATGATAAATAGATAAAGCTTGATTCACTCATATTGCAAATATTCCTTAATTAAGGCTGAAGCACATGATTAATTACCACATTACTTGAGCAATACAAACCAAGTAATTTTCAATGAAGGGCAATTCAAGTATTCCACAGACAGAGCATGACATATTAACCAAAGCAATTCTGTTCCCCTCCATCAAACTGGACTCTCTGAAGTGGATAATACCAATTTATTACTGAACTCTTCCAGACAACCCAAAATACCTCAAATTGTTGTACTGTTGAAAGTTATGTAGATAATATATTTTCCACTTTTAATTCACCAAGCAGTGATAAATATCACCCGTTTATCACCTATTAGAAATAATTAGCTGTAACTTCCATCTTTTAACCCTGTGTATTCACCTTACTGTCAAATGGCTTTGCTATGACTCATCACCACTGCCATTTTTTCAGTCTCAACACTATAAAAATGAGGCACTTTAAAACTATTTTGTTTTCGATTTTGCTCTTGCCTGGAAAATTATAGATTCAACGGTGGACCTATAAGCAACTAGAAAAACAGCATGCCTATATATAAAAAGAGGTATTTTGATCTGTTACTCTTAATTAATGGCATTATCAAAGGAGTTAAAATGTTATCATGATCTAAATCTTGCCCCTTCTGTATATGCAACAACCCAAAGGGTAAGGCAAGGATCATGATGCCACACCATATTTTGTCATTTTCTACTCTGGATGTCATTTCTTTGAAGGTGCTATACTCCTATTCCTTTTCATGTTGGCTCTTTAATTAACACAGGAAAACCTCACTTAACAATGGTAATTTATTTCAGGTTGCTGTGATGGCCGCAATTACATTAAGTTGGTATTTTTTAGATTTGGAACGTTTTGTTCACATGCCTAGCTTACTTACATCAATGGCCAGTAGTTAGACATGCTAGGAATGTAGTTCCTAACCCTGTGTTAATGCTGAATAGAATAATATTGAAAAACAAACACCATAAAATTAAAGAATTAATAACATGTTGTTACCAAGATAACCAATTGTTCTATTGACAAAATATAGATTGGAATACATTATACAAATGGCACAACAGTACATAAGGCAGTAGGTGGGCTGAGATATTAAGAACAGGTCATCGATCTTATACTTACACTCTGCAGGGTTCTTCATCAAGGTAAACACTAACATCTTCAATAGAACCTGTGGCTAAGTTTGTGCCACTGATAGTTAGAACTGTTCCTCCAGCTTGGGGACCTCTCAGAGGATTTATTCCTGTAGGTATAGGATCCTGTAATGTAGAAAGTCATAGATTAGTTAAATTCTGAATTTCTTTTAACAATGCATTTTCCAAACATTGTAATAATATATTTTAAGGGTGCAAAAACAACTCAGGGGAAAAAAAGTCTATTATAAACAACTCTTCTCAAGGTTAAACTATTATAAGCTGCTACTGACAATAATATAGTGGATAAGCTGCCCATTCAGTTTTTAAAAATTTATTTTAGAGCATACTTTTTATAATGCTTCTTGCAGCACATTCTTGGATATAATCACATCAGTGGCATGAACAAAACCCATCATTTGAAAGGAACTGTGAAAGCAGCAGATAATTTTTCATGTGTAATAAAGAAAGCCTGCCCACCTATCTCAAATCAGAACATTTGCTGATCTGGAAAGCAGCATTTAGGTGTGCACCTTAAAAGCAAGCCTGCACAGCATAACGTGTGACTTCCTGAACCAAATATAGCCTCTCCCCAGCTTGATAAAAACTTCCTGCTGAGAAATGCAGTGCAAAACTAATTATTTCCTAAACAAATAATGAGGTTCTGTGACCTTGCTGAATTTGTTGTAAGCTGATCTACAAACAGTTTTTTAAAAAACTGAAACCTACACATCTCCTGTGTCTGAATGAAAATATCTTGGCCAAAATATCACTGATAAGTTTGCTGCCCTCAGAAAGAAACAATAAGGATAGTTTTCTTCTGGTGATCCTTTGAAATTTTATACTTTTGATATTTTAGGGCCCAACAAAAATATAATAAGGCTCAAATTCCCAGGATTTTACAGGTATATGAAAGTCTTTCCATGACACAGTAGGAGACTGTATAATCATTAAAATTTAGATCACTGGCAGCTCCAGGCAGCAACCGATGTTAACAGGAGCAGGTCACATTAAGTGCATTGCAGTAGCCCAAATGTAAGAAAATTAGGGAAAGCACCACTGACATCAACAGCTTTCCAGTCTGTGAAAGGCTTGCAAGTGAAGTCAAAATAGTGCAACCAGCCAAGGTGTCCCTGGTCACAGCTTCCATCTGTTGAACAGAAGCAATGCATCCAGAGGAACCTCCAAGTTGTAAACCTGCTCCTTCTGAAGAAGTAAGACCTCATCTAGAGTAGAAATTGTTGGCAGATGTGAGTCAGACCAACCCATTACACAACTAGCTTGTCTACCTTGCATGAATTTAATGTGAGTTTATTTTAATCCATCTAGTCCCTCAGGACTTCCGTATTCTGGTTAAAACCTCAGCAACGTCTCTGGTTTAGTCTGAGATGACAGTCTTTAAGTCTCATCAAGATTGTGATAGATGACCTTGCCTAGCAATTTCGTGCAGTTACTGTGAGATAAATGGCCAAAAGAGACATAGATCTTGCCCATGGTTAGAGACTTCATACTATAGAGACCCCTATCTATTTCCAAGAAACAGAAATCACTTTAAAGACTCTGCCAAAGTGGCATTTAAACCTGAGCAAAGGCATTTTATCTTTTATATGGTATATTATAAAAATTAGGCTTTGGATCCCAAATGTTTAGTTAGTGATCTTATATAATTTCACACAGGAATGTTAAAAATTGGTATGATACAAGCCAGTTTTAGCTCTACGAAGAGATGAAACCAAGAACATTCCCAGGAAAACACACCATTTTGTTTCAGGTTTTGCTTTTGTATAGTTATAATTAAAAAGCTCAGTTAGGTAATAGGACATGGTTGACTTTGACTGGTTAAAATGGGTTAAACCTGTTTTAGTACAAGGAAGGGAACTAGACTGGGAAGACAAAAAGCATTCAGAAGAAATCACAAAAACACCTTCAGGTAGTCCTCAACCTAACAGCCATCTGTTTAGTGACTATTCACAGTTATGACAGCACTAAAAAGTGATTTACAACTGTTCCTCACACATATAACCATAGAAGTCACATGATCAGAATTTGGATATTTGGCAAATAGCATGTATTTATAATGGTTGCAACATCCTGGAGACAACAAGATCACCATTTGTGATCTTCCCAGCTGGTTTCCAACAAGCAAAGTCAATGGGAAGCCAGATTTGTTGAATGATGATCTGATTCACTTAGTAAGTACACTGATTCACTTAACAACTGTGGCAAAGGCTGTAAAATCAGGCACAATTCACTTAACATCCACCTTACTTAGCAATGGAAATTCTGGTCCCAATTGTAGTTGTAACTCAAAGGCTATCTGTATTAGGTTGTGTTTTTTTTTTTTTTTTAAAGTCCCAATTATTTAATAGCAAAATACTTTAAGCATTTTCTTCCAAAGTATGCTGGTTTAAAACTGGGAATGTTTCTACTATATTTTGTTTAAAAACCAACATATCAATATGCTAAAATGCACAAAAAAGAGATGACTCCACAAAAAACATAATGTTTAAATTTGGTCTATTATGGGTACCCGTTATCTCTGATTGCTCAATTAATTGTCTCCACTCCCCCATCATGAATCTTCTCTTTTGTAAAGGAATAAACTTTTTACATGATAATAATGTCAATTAAGCTTCAAAACAGGCATACCCACTTATGGACTGCCTCAACTCAGGAACTCTGCAAATGAAAGCTTAGTAATAGATGGTTTAGATGGATTTTTCTTAACAAAACTTAATGGCCTGGGCCTGATTTTACAAGGCATAAAACAAGTTTTGTAGGGCTAGACTTGGTATTTATCAGCAGTTTGAGTATATTCATTATACACAGTGAAACCAAGTGCAACTGCCTATTGCTCTCTTACATAAATAGATATTACAAGTAGCCCTAGCTACAGAAACCTTAATGACTGCACAAAAAGATATTCTTATGAAACATGCCTTGGGAGCTTTATAGCATAGCAATTTATTGCCACATGTTTATTTCCTCTTAATTTAGAACTGAAATTGGCTGTTGAAACCTAGGCCCTTTATTGCAACTCTGCTGTAAAATTGCAGAGCTGAGAACAGGGAAGGATATGTGGGGAGACAAGAAGTGAATGGGGCCAGGACAAAATGGAAATTGATTTTAAATTCACTTAAATTAATTGAGTATTGTCAATGTCACTTCTCTGAATTATTCTGTCATGATAAAAAAAATGCAATAAGGTAGCAATTTTGGGAAGTGCTGGGAAAAGATAGGCAGCTCTGTATTCTTAGCCTGAAAATATTTAACAGTAAAACAAATGGGGGAATGCAGATCCATGTAAAAAGGGAGGTATTTATAGGAGAGGATATGGATTGATGGCTGGGACTTTACAGCCTAGAGGAGTATAGCTGACTCCTACTGATTCACAACAGCTGATGATATGGCTATGGTGGTCTGGTTTTTGTCTAAGGCAGACTTAAAGTAGGTTGGTGTTTGCTGGGAACTATTGTTCACTCTCACACAAAAAGAGGAAGAAATGCCTCACATGATTTTGTATCATCATGAGACTTACAAGAATACAAACACAGATTACATGTGGTTATTTTTCCTTATTCCTGTGAATGTTACTTTTGTAACCACTGTGGGAAACAGCCTCCTAAGAGGAATGTATTTCACGTTTTAGAACAGGGAACTCCAAATTTGGCAATTTTAAAGACTTGTGGACTTCAATTCCTAGAATTCTGGGAGTTGATGTCTATGTGTCTTAAAATTGTCAAGTTTGGAGACTCCTGTTTTAGAATAGAAGCCAATGCAATACAGGGTAAGTTGTGGGTGATTAGTCATTTACTTTGCAGTACTTATATAAAATATTTTAAAATATTAATTTCATGTTATATGATATTCACTCTGACATGAAGCAGTGACATTGTACAAAATATGTATTTCTATGACATGTTTTTGTCATCTACATTTTTTTCTAAGAGCTCCTGGAAGAGAAATGGAGAACATTTTGAGGAGCAAACTGGGTGAGTAGCACTTATCTTCCTTTTTATGAACTCTCAGATTAGAAAGATAGAACTGTTATTATGTCACATTCTCATATTGGATATTTTGTGACTCCATCACTCTGGGGGAAATGGACTATTTCAGCCCTTAAGAGAGGGCTTGGCAGCACAAGGAAACAACAATCAATGATGTAATAGCCGGCCATCAAAACCACAATCAATAACTAAAATGCCACACACAACCAGACACCATATAAATATCACACACAGAAAAGCCCAAAGCACACACTCTGCTAGGAGGAAGTTCCTTCAGGATGCTCCAGCATAACCTTGAAAGCTTGGAAGACTAAATGTTTGGTTCCAGTAACCAACCCAGATTGGATCCTGCAACTATTTTCAGTGTTACACATTAATTAAGGATGTGTAACATCCTTATTGGGACTCATCAGGTACACACAACCACTGTAGTTAGTATAGGTCTAACATGTTTAGAATATCTCTGTACCAATCCTATTGAAATGAATAGAAGCTGTTTGAAGACCGCACTCTCAACCTCTGAGAAAAGGAACATGTGCACATAGTTACATATATTGCATTTAAATAAATACCATGTCGTCATAGAACAGTGTTTCTCAACCTTGACAATTTTAAGGCATGTGGACTTCAACTCCCAAAATTCCACAGCCAGCAATGGTGGCTGTGGAATTCTGGGAGTTGAAGTCCACATGCCTTAAAATTGTCAAGGTTGAGAAACACTGTCATAGAATATGAAGACTGATGGGATATTTTCTGTGGAGCTGAAATCCCTTTGGGGAGGCATTGTTCTGTAAGGAAAACACAGTTTCACTCCTAAGATAGAAAGCTTTGATGAGTAGTCAAGGGTCCTGCATTTATCACAATCCCAATTCCTTCATTTGTGCATAGATACAAGGGAATGGAAATGTGATATTGGCTTGCTTAACAGAACCTATTTCAGAAACCTAGCTTCTAAAGACTACTAAGCCAAGCAGAATATGTGTAATTACTTGCATATAAATACAGAAATCAATTCACGTATCAGCTTAGTCTTTTTGCTTGTTCACCAGCCAAATTAAATAGCATTTATTACATATGTGAATGATGTTTCTACCTGGCTTTATCATGAAAGTATCATCCAGAAGTG